TTGCCAAATCGTCCATTAGTCTAGTTGTGTGCTCGTCCTTCACTAATATTTCAATCGAATCCAAAGGAGGTCTTAGAATTGAAACAATCTATCTTTATATTTCATGTATTCATATACAATATTTAATCGTACAAGTGATTTAGAATTTATGTGATAGGAAGGATGAAAAGAAGTGAGTATAAATTTTTTTTTAATTTAATGATTATGATATAAAATAAAATAATAGTTATGAATTTTAACTATTAAATTAATAAATGTTTCGTCATCGTCCATTTTTATCCTTCTTATCAATTAAAACGTTAAAATTACAAGACCAAGCATTTGGTCACATATGGCTCCAATTCCATTTTGAAAACATAAAACTCAAATGCCACCCATTTGAAAGAATTTAGCAATTCTATATCTTGGAATGAATTTAGTAATTCTTTGGCTCATAATATTAAACTTAATAATTTTAAACGTAACACAATGATATGATTCAAAAAAGATATTTATTATATAATTTAAAATTTTAACAAAATTATATATAAATTTAATAAAAATAAAAAAAAATTTTATATTTAATTTATTAACACAAATTATAATATAATAATTTTTATATTATTTATTTATTTAATATCGGATGCAATACAAATATATAAATGATAGATTTAAATATTAAGCATCAAAGAATTTGGGTGAGCTTTCTACCTCATTCTTTAGCTCAATAGACCAATCCCAATTAGGTTTATATGACTCCATCCCAAACCCACATTTAACATGTTGAGACTAGGGGTGATAACTATTTGGATTGAATCGATTCAATTTAATTTTTTTAGATAATGTAAAATTATAAATTTTTAAAATTTGATCCAAATTTGAATTGAATTTTCATATTATCTAATTCGGTTCAAATTGAATTTAATCAGTTCGATTCAATTATTAGTTATTTAAATTTATACTTTTTATATTATTTTAATGTAATTTTTAATATATTAAATAAATTTAGTATAAAATAATTATTTTTTATAAAAATTTAAAATATATAAAAGTGAATAAATATAAATAATTCGGTCTATTAGATTTTTTAATTTTAATTTAAAATTTGATATAAACTTAATATATATATTTAACATTTAAATTGAAATAAAAAAATATAACATTATAATTTCAAATAAATATTTATTTTTTCGAATTTTGTCTTTGAGTCTAACACAGATGTCATACCTACAGGGAATTAATGGATTCATTTAGAAAACTTGAAAAAGAAGGAATCGACGGGGTCCAAAGATGTGCCAATATTTAAAGCCCAATTTTGGTGGGTAGCCACATTAACTAGGAACACGGAGAAGGAAAATGGGCACATGGAATTCTGTAGGTGGCCTTACAACTGCCCTGGCCGCAGATCAGCATATGCACTGTCAATGTTGGCAATTCTTTTTCCCTTTCATTAACAATTTTATAGTAGGTTGGTGCCTTTGGATCCATATGTTCCCCAGCCTCTCACATTTTGGACAAAGGGGTTCTTATGGCTTACAACATGAGGAACAGGGATAAGATTTTGTGTAATATTAAACATTAATGTAATTGATGATGATGATGATGATGATGATGATGAGGGATCTTTAAGGGATGATACTCTAAATTAATATATTTTACAAATTTTTTTTGCTCTTCCAACTGTTTTTTTTTTTTTTTTTTTCATATTTTATTGTTTATGAAAAATAATTTGAAATTAAAAATTTCATAAGTGTCAATCAGTATTGTTCAGAATTGATTACAACTGAGGCAAATAAAAATCCATTTTTTTTATCAAATGGATAAACTAATTTCCTTTTCTGGGAAATAATTCTTAATAACATCCATACCAATTACATTCCTTGTAGTTATAACATATATATGGATACGCATTATTAGCCATAATTTTGTAATAAAAAAATGTGATTGTCATCAACAAAATTACGACTGCAAATAAAATTTCCCATATGAATAATGATGTTGGTGACATTTGAAATATTGCCAGGTTGGAGGTATAATGCAAGGGTTACGCATTACCTAGCAAAGAGTTAAATATATAAAAGGTAATTCGAGAGTCCACAAAGGTTCTGATTCTAACCACTAATTCTATTTCCATTTTTTTTTCATTTTTTTCGATTATGATCTAATTCCAATTATTTCCATTTTTACATTAATTTCTCTTTCTATTCACTTACAAGCTATTGATTAGATATTATCAAAGAGGATCTCTGATTACAAACTCCGACATCCTCTAATCAATCATTTCTATTTTATGGATCTTTAGATTGAGCTTTGTTTTGGATAATTACAGTAGATTATGACCTCAACTAGGATGGAAATTTGTTAATGACCTGTTTTTTTTTTTTTTGGGAGGGGGGGGGGGAAGGATTTGTTTAAGCTTATAAATCTTTTAATGCGATTTATAAACTTTTTAATACATAAAAATTTAAAGTGACGAGAGACTTATCTAATTCGGATTATTAAAGGGCTGGTTTCCATCAATTAGAGGCAAATTATATTTTGAATGATAAATGAAGGGTTCAAAGCCCATAATTTAGACCAGCAAAGAGTCCAGCAGGGTCTGCCAAATCTTCTCTTTGTCTTAATTGCTCGCGTGTAAAAAATGTCCAGGTTTTGGCATGTTCATTTATGAAATTCAGCAATGAGCTGGTTCGCAATTCCTTGGATTACACTCTTGGTCTCTACTAATTATCTACTACATGTTCCATTAAATATAAGAATTGAGAGAAAACAACCCTCGAAAACTGGTCATCAAAGCCATTCTTAAGCATTTTTAAATCAGTTTTTATATTCCTGCCATTTGCATGACAGTAGCATGGCATGTTTTTACATGCATGTAGGGCTTGCTTTTGCATAACTGTGGCACGGCGAGATATACACGCAAAAATCGTTCATTATTATTATTATTATTTCCGTTTAGAATTTTCTAGTTTGACGAGGCTTTGAATTGGATCATCAAGCATATCGTCTCAAATATTTATGTTTAATTGGAATTTTTTGAAATAGTGTTAGGACTCAAATTTATATATTTTTATCCAAATTCCACTCCATCTTACTATTTGAGTCAAGATTGAACATCATTGAAAAGGTCAAAATGGTAACTTAAAGCCATTTATTGTTGGCTAACCAACAACCGTATATATGTTATAATTTGACGTGATGGTAAAACATTAAGGATTTCCTTTGCGGACTGATTTTCCAAAGGTTGACCCTTTGAATTTGAATGTCATTGCTATGGCTATGGACCCACGGTGGATGAAGGTATTTATTAGAGTTCATCACCTTTTTTTTACTCTCTTGATGTTTAAGAGTTCCATGACTTGTATTATCTTTCAAGATGATGAAAAAGATTGATTGAACGAAGACTTTTATTGTGCAAATGCAAAAAGATTTTGTGGGCTATCATGCATCATGCATGCATCCTTCTCAATTAAAATCCATCATTTTTCATGACGTGATATATTCTACTTTGTGCTTTAAAAAAGGGATAAAAACCAACTTTTGCCTTTAAGCAGAGCAATTCTCATTGGCAAAAAGACTTTTATTTTCTTGAGAACTAGTCCATTGTGGTCATGAAACATTAACTTTAACAATGATAATGTATCTTTGAGCAACCTGATAAGTAGTATTGATCATTTTTCTAGTTTTGGAAACTATTTTCATCTAGAGCAAGACATATTCTTTACTTTTATATTAATAATCATAAACAATGTTGTTTAAAAGGAAGGATCGATAGCTTTAGGTCCAAAATTAGAATAATTGACCAGAGAATGCTCTTATATATAAATTTAAATTTAAATTTATGCATTTAGATTTCTCAATTGTTTCGAGTTAAGCAAATGAAAAATTTTAAAAAAAAAAAAAAAAGCACATGATCTCTTGGTTTAAAACTTTGTAACACCCTTCACTTATCCTTGGTCATGACCATTTATGTGTCCAATTAGGTGCTCATCAAGTTTTGCATTTGAACTATTGTTTTATTGATAACCACACCTTTTTCATAAAAAAGAAAAAAAAGGGTCATTTACTAAATTTCCTCTCTTCCCAACTTAATTAAGTTTTATATCTATATATATATATAATATCTAGAAAAAAATTGTTTTAATAATAATAATAATAATAATAACAATAAAAAACATTCTTTAAGGCTTCCACCAACTAGCATTTTGAGATGTCAATGTTTTTATGATAGGAAAACATATTTATTTTTTTCATGCAAGCCGTAAGATGATATGTGGACATAGATATGATGAGACGGCAAAGGTCTATCCAATTGTGCAAAGTGTTTAAAAAATGAAAGAAAAACTTGATGTGGAAATTAATAGTATGAAAATTAAATTCAATTTGCTGACTTCAAAAGCAGCCATGATATGCATGCATGATAAGCAAGGGATTTGTTAAAAATATCATTGTCAAGTATAGTCAATTCTTGATTAGCCAAGCACCTAATAATTTCTTTATCAGCCTACTATAATTAAGATAAATATAGCTTGTTAATTAAATCTGATTAATTTATTGACTAAAAACTAATAAAACACATGTACATCGATATATGCATGAGTCACAACGTATCAAGGAGAGTAGGCAATCTCAAGTTCATTGTCACACAATTTTAAAATTTGAATATCTGTTCGTGACACATGCGTGTTTTATACAATTTTTTTATATAAAAGTGAATATTTTATTATTTATCGTTATTATATTTAAATGATTAATAAATAATTAAAGATAAAATCTAATTAACAGTGTTTCTAAATATTTTATATTTTTTATTTTTAATTTTTTGATTTAAGAACCTAATTCTAATAACGAGAAATTAAGGGTTTTTTTTTTTTACAGTAATAAATATGGCAGAGAGAGACTGGATATAGGTTTCCTTTAGAGCACAACTCACATTGAATGCCACGCGGTTTGATGAGGTAGAAGAGGCATTGGCTTTGCCACAGGTGAGCTGACTTTGGCCTTGTCTGCCTCTTCCCTCCCTCCCCTTGAGTTAATGCTCTTGCTGTCATCTTTTGACTTTTTGGAGAGGGAGTTGAAACGGTCCTCTTTTGCTTCTTTTAGGTCAGCGTCCTCTCTCACATTCTCTTTTCTATATATGCAAAGCAGGACCTAAGTAAACCTTGGCCTTAGGCTCCTGTCTTTAAGCTTCCAAGAAGAAAACTAAAGAAAAGAATAGAGAACTAGAGATCAAAAGCATAGAATCTGTTTTCTCATCTTCAGGTTCAGAAGAAGAAGGTGATATGGGGAGACCACCTTGTTGTGTAAAGGTAGGTGTGAAGAAAGGGCCATGGACTCCTGAAGAAGATATCCTCTTGGTGTCTTATATTCAAGAACATGGTCCTGGGAATTGGAAGGCTGTTCCTACCAACACAGGTTTGGGTTAAATGGCTTTCTATTTTGGGGCTACATTCTTTTTAAAGCAACAGGATTTTGTTTTGTCTTTTGGTTTTGGTTTGGTATTTTGATCATAAAGGAAATGCAATCAAAAGTTTTCAAATTTTGTTTTCCCTTTGTGGCATGTGAAAAGATCAAATTTGATTTGATTGTATACAAGTGAAGTTATAAATCTTTGTTTGTTTCTGGTTTCTTTCCAGGGTTGCTTAGATGTAGCAAGAGCTGTAGGCTTAGATGGACTAATTACTTAAGGCCAGGGATTAAACGGGGTAGCTTTACAGAACATGAAGAGAAAATGATAATAGACCTTCAAGCTCTATTAGGCAACAGGTAATCTATCTTTCTCTGATCTGTTTAATTTTTTAGATGGCATGAATAAAATGGTTTTGTCAAAGCAGTGTAATAAATGGGGCAATTAATATTGTGCAGATGGGCTGCAATAGCATCTTACCTTCCTCAAAGAACAGACAATGACATCAAAAACTATTGGAACACTCACTTGAAGAAGAAGCTGAAGAAGCTCCAAGGCAGTGGTGGAGGTTATCCTAGAGATGGTTTATCATCATCATCATCATCATCATCAACCTCATCACACCAAAATTCTAGAGGCCAATGGGAGAGAACGCTACAGACTGATATCCAAATGGCTAAACAGGCTTTATCTGATGCATTGTTCCCAGAGAAATCAAGTGGCTTATCTGAGCTGAAACCCTCTAATGGATACATATCTTATGCAAAACCGGGAAGCTATGTATCGAGCACAGAGAACATAGCCAAGTTGTTAGAAGGTTGGATGAGAAATCCATCAAAGCCTGCTTCTACAAACTCTGCTGCCACTCAACAATCATTTGACAACATGGCTGGGATAGATTCTGCTTCTAGTGAAGGGACTCGAAGGATGGAAGACAAAAGCAGCATAGAAATGTCAGAGGCTTTTGAGTCACTGTTTTTCTTTGAATCTTTGGATTCTTCAAATTCTGATTTCTCACAATCTATGTCACCTGAGGCAAGCCTTTTCCAAGATGAAAGTAAACCAGATCCTAATGCCCAGGGGCAACTGTCATTGCTTGAGAAATGGCTTTTTGATGATGGTGCAAATCAAGGGAAAGACTACCAGCTTAGTGATATCACATTAGAGGAAAATGCTAATTTCTTCTAAAGGGGAGCCTTCTTGTTTTAGGGGCTTCCTAGGATTCTTTTGATCTTGGCTTATTTTCTTTGCTATAGGTCTTGTTCAAGGAAGAAACCATTCTCCCCTTTAGTGGTAGAACAGAAGTGTAAATGTCACATTATTGTAGTAGATATCTTTGGTTGAGAATATGCAATATTTCTGTCCTGATTATCTGCCTACAAAAAAAAATTATCACCTTTGTAAAATCTTGCATTTGGAATTATGAGATGAATTAGAGTACTTTTCATTCAAGCTTTTTATGCTTTGAAGCCTAAGGAAGAAGGTTTTAGTTGTCATTATCCATGGATGAGTTTTCCTGGGCTGAGCAATTGCTGAAGGACCTTGTCATTAACAGTTATTTTGGATTTTAAAGGAAAAAAAGGAAAAAAATAAAAAATGTAAAATTAAATGAATGGACAACTTATGTTCATTGGATATACTGAAGAATTAAAGTTTGACGTACTTTCTTGTGAGGCTGTGCATCCCATGACCCATGATCAAAAGAAAGTCAACTAGCAGCTTTTTGTTTGATTGAAAGTTAATTGAATTAATTAGGTAGGCAAGCTATAGCTCGTATAGATTTATGGCTTGTATAATTAGATCATACCAAAGGTAGAAAAACAATTATCTTTCCAGATCAGCCATACTTGAATGATTACAACCCAAATGTCACAGGATCCTTATTATTTCTGTTTTTTTTTTTTTCTGTCTCAGAAAATTATTCATCCAAAGATGTTAAAAAAATTAATATTTTATCTCCAGGGCCTGATCTTAAATGCAAACATGTGAAGCCTTTTGATTTTCTTGCCTGTTTTCACAGGTTGGACTTTGGAGAACTAGTTCATTTTTAATGATAATCCTGACCATGCAATTGCAAGAAAATACTCACTGTAAAGCCATAAGAAGGTCCATCTGGTCCTCACGAAAACCATTACCCCAAATCTCGAATACAGGCATCTACATGTTTTGGGCTTTTTTTTTAATAAATTTACCCCAAATACCCTAAAAAATCTTTTTGTACAATTGAACTAAAGTATGTAAAAGTTGTCATGCATGCCTCAAATTGTCAATGTTGATATTGGGCTGGAGATATTTAGATTAGAGATCCTGTATATTTCAACAGCAATTATCCATGTTGATTATTAGTTCTAATTGTTCTGGACCCATGGTGATGTGGAGTGGATGTTGCAATCCTATAGGTCAAAAGGGAGGCTTTGCTAGCCAAAGCAAATCTTCAAGACAGAACCATATGCTCTCCTCATGCATGAACTACTGGTCTACTACAAGTCTACACCATGTAGCTGCATTTAAGTCCAGCATGTGGATATCTTGCAGTCGGAGGTAGCAGCTAATTAATAACATATATGCAAAATCAAGTTGTGATATTTCAAACCAATCACCCAAAAAAAAAAAATTAAAGTGAAATTTGCCACTATATGACAACTCAATATTGAATTTTGTCAATACGGTTCACTGTTATTGCATTTGATCATTATACTTTAGTTTTATTGTTTTTTAAAATAACTAAATTGAAATCAATTATCTCTTAAATCAGTTAATATATCATTAGAATTGATATTTAAAAACTACGGGCTTGAAAGAATTTAGATATGTAATATATTCTTCAATAAAATATGTAGTGAGATACGAGATTTAAGGATAGGGATGGATATTATATTGTGGGTATGAAGATATAGATGAGTAAAATATTAAATTTTTATTGGATATGAGGATGGGGACAGGTTGTATTACCTTGTCCCGTACCTGTATCTTATATATATTTTTATATATTTAATAAATAGATTTTTTATTAAATAATATAAATTATTATTTTAAATTAATTAGAATTAATATATTTTTATTGAAAAATATATATATTAATATATTTATAAAAAAACCTAAATATATAAGATAAAAATAAAAAAAGTTAAACAATATTTTTTATTTTTTTAAAATACTAAAATACCAACAAGAATAGGGACAAAAATAAATTTAAAATATTCGTTGGATATGAGAATGTGAATGAAATGAATATAATATAAAAATTTAGAGATGAAGAGGAGGAATGCTGTTCTATATCCGTTGACATTCCTAGGACAAATTAAGAATTTAAAAAAAAAAATTAAAATATTTCACAGAAGATTCAATTAATGAAATGTAACTGAATTGGAATATTTCACGGAATATTCAGTTAATGCAAATGACAAATTATAACAATATATTATCAATCAAGTTGCTGCCTGTTGCAAATTAACGGAGGGTAAAACTTACAATTAATATAATAATTTAATACTTTAGATGTTATTTTATTTTATTTTTTTTATTTTCGATGCATGAAGTAAAAGATTAATTAACCATTGAATTCAATGCCGGAAAACAGAAAATACTGCTATTGACTTCTTGAATTTTACGTTATGAGAACCCTGTCTATATATAGTAAAGTTAAGGATTTTGTTAAAGAATACCCTAATGACACTCACATAATATTACTATTAAAAGAATTAATAATGATACCGATTATTCAATATATTAAAAAATAAAATTACGTTCCAATTATTACATTTAATAACAAAATATTTTTATAAATAATACTTTAACAACTACTCTTATGTCGATGATGAAGCATTGAATATACGAGTTTTATTATGAGTGAAAAAGAAAACAGTGGGGAAAACAATACAAATTTAAAGTTTAATTCAATTATTTTATGTAATTATTATTAAAAATAATATTTAATAAATTTAGAATTTGAATTACAAACTTTATAATTTTTTATTCCTAAACTGAAACCTCTTTATGAAAAAAAAAAGAAAAGTAGAATAAGATGTTAGAATAAGACAATGATCAGTTCATCATCTAAATTTGTTGTATATATAAGTGATGAATTAAATTTATACTAGTATTCTTTGAATTGCTCTGAGTTCCATGCAGTGGAAAACAATTGACATATGGTACAAATTAATTTAAGTCAAGAAAAAGAAATAAAATTAATTTAAGTCAAGAAAAAGAAATATTTGGTAAAAAGCTATTTAAACAGTACTAGTCAAAGGAATCAAAGTGAAGACTAGATTGATGGGTTGTGTTGGTTGGTGCAGTCTGTCTCAACCTCCGCCATGTTTATTAATTACTAGCTTTTATGTTTGAAAAAAAAAATCAATGGAAGAAATTAGCATTCTAGAAATGACTTTACAAACTTTACAATAAAAATTTCTTTTTTTCTTAATTTCATTAAAGTCCTAATCTCAAAACCATAAAAAATTCAATTCTCACTCATCTATTAATTAAGGGTGTATAAATAATTTAATAAAATTAAAGGGGGCAAATAGGGGTGGAAAAGCAAAATCAGACAAATTCAATAGGTAAAAACATAATATTGGAGAAGCTATAATCAGTGTTTATAAAAACATTCATAAATATATAGATTATCTTGGTGATTTCGATTTGGTGAAGATATATCATGGATTAGTATCAAATAAAGTGATCGACAGGCAGGCAAGCTTCAAAGAGTGGGAACCACGTATACTATCAAATTGAATGTGATTAGCAGTTATCCAAACTTCCACCTTGCAAGCTTTGATTTATGAATTTCTAAGGTTTGTCTCAATTCCAAATGAAAGATATCAAATAAGAGGATATGCCGCTCAACATGTAACACGTGTAACATGTCAATGACTATGTAACCGATTACTTTTGATTCTAATTATTAATTTTAAATCATATATGAAAATATATTCATATATCAATAAATCTTATATAAATATAAATTTTTTAAAATGATAATATAAGTTATGAAATTTATGAAACTCATAACTTATATAACCATTTTATTTAAATTTATATATTTTAATATAATAAAACTAATTAATTACATATTAAATATACTTATGCAATTATCATCAGTTTTAAAGAAAACTCAAACTATAATTTATTAAATCCAAATAATTTTTAAACAAAAAACAATAATATTTTTAATTTCAAAAAATTAAAAATTTTATCATTAAAATCAATCTCGCATATAAACTTTTTTCATGAGAAATTCTTTCATAAGTTTTTATTGAAGCGAAAATGCAATAATTGATTCCCCAATATTTCTTGCTATCTTGAAGTAGATGTCATTTTACTTAATAAGTCAATAAATTTCACAAATAAATAAAACAACAATCTATAATTTGATAATAGTTAAGTTATAATCTAGAATATATAATTTTATAACAAACATAATCATTATAATAAGTTTATATGTAGCTTTTTCAATAATTTTTAATATTTAAGCTTAGGATCAAAATCATACACCTTATTCATTGTAAGTTTGGTAGTGCTTATCTCAAGAATATGCTCGGTTGCCTTCGTCTCAAACACACAAATTTTATTTTTGAGATCTTCAAATATCTCTTCAATTTTATAATCTCTATTTTCCTAAATCATAAGTATAAATATATCATTCAATTAATTTGGATATTAAATAATATTAAAATAATTTTTAACTCAATACCTTAACAAATATTTCATAAAGATCGTCAATATCTCTATTAATTAAATCATTAGCTTCTACATTGAACAAGATGAACATCGTCCTTTCAGAATTATCATATGCTTCAATATTCAACTTGTACCTATAAAAAATGTAATATTCTACAATTATAAATATAATATAATAATTTAAAATACTTTTATTATCATCATGGAATAATAATTTTTTTATGCATCAAATATAGAAAATATAAATACTAATTACCATGGAGTTGGATCAGAGACATTAACATTGTAGGAATCTACTGGTGAAAGACTTTCCCTGTATATACCCAATCATCTTTAAATCAATCATCAATAAAAAATAGTAAAAAAACTAATATCATAGTTAAAGAAATAAAAAATAGAAGTATAAAAGAGATCAACCTTTGAGCAGCACGGACTAAGAAATGATACAAAGTGAAAATTAAATAGACAAGTGAAGTAGGGTTAAGTAGTGACAAAAAATATAAAATTATTAAAAAATAGTTAAAGATGCATTATGCTTAATCTAGAGTTACTTATGCAAAAGGTGTGTTGTAAGTTAATTAATAAGATAATTTTAAATTATAAAGTTAATATTGAAATAATAAAAATTGTAAGTGAACAATAGTTTAACAATGGCAAGTTGATTGATATTGAAATATTTTATTCTACCATTAACATTTAGAGATCCCTTAATTTAGAACAATATGTTAAACAAATTAAATTTTAATTAAATCAACATGCATTAATATCTAGATTTTAAAATTATAAAACGTTACAATTGAAATCAAATGAAATCCACTTGCATTAATACTTTACCAAATGAAATCAAACTTGCATTAATATTTTAACAAATGAAATCATATTTAATGAAATATAAATCTATCAATCAAATATAAATTAATAAAATATTTTATTCCATTAATTTAATTATGAAGAATTAATTTGATATATTTGCTTTCTATATTTACACATGAAATACATCAATTACTCAAATGTATACTATATTTAATCAAATATAAATGTATCAAATAATTGATTAGAGAGTCAATTATTTTATAATTGTAATTGTAATATTTATTAAATTATTAATTACATATTGATTGATTTAACTTGTCAAATTAAGAAATTTTTAAAATTTTAGTATTTTTAATATGAATTGAATTGAGGGTGATTTAAGATTAATTATGAAAACATAAATATAATCAATTTAGTTTTTTGAATTATTTTCAAATTAAAATTGTATAAAATAAAATAAAATGTATTTATTAGATGTCATGTAGTAATTTTTAAGACCATCCAAATGTCAACATTTTAATCCGTCCACATATGATTTTTTTTTTTTTTGCCAAAAGATTTAGCTTTTATATATTTATATAAGATTAGAATTCAAATTCTACACTTTAATTCAACTTGAAAAAAAAAAAGCATTTGCAATAATATATTATACTCTCTTAATTATGCAATGAATTTGGGCTTTGGAGACAAGCTCTCAATCACTATATATGGTAAACTTGAGAGAAATCAATAATATATCAACTCTTAGGTACTTTGTGGTCCAAAAGTTTTTTATTTGCACTATTTTGAAGGTAGATGCTTTTCGCATGAAGTAGAGGCAAGCAATGTAATAGGAGAAATTTTGTTTCAAATAGGATAAGAGTCCTTTTTGTCAAGTTGCATCAATCATTAATCAACACCAAGTTTCTATTTTTATTCCAAGATTTTCATTTTACTCTCCATTATTGGTTATCATGATCAAAACTGACTTGTTTCTGGTGAGTTCCAATGTTTCTTTGGGATATCACAATTTTTTTTTTTTGAAAAGGAAAAATTATGTGATTTAGAAGCCTAAGATGCTTTTAGTCATGACCTAAAAAGACAAAATCAACCTGCTTTTTACAGTGGGAATCACTAGTTGGGTTGGGTTGGTGAGTAGCAAAGAGGTCTCAACTTTTCAACATCTTCTTAAAGCACAATCATATACTTAAGTCCCTATCAATCCTCAAATCCATCCTTACTGTCTTTTTCACCTTTTTAAATTTTCTACATACTCTTCTTTGATCATATCTTAATTGTGTTAGTCTATTTAATAAATCCATATTTCCATTTCCTACCCCTTGATCTAAATTAAAGATATCCAATATGCAATTTATATGCCTAATTAGATCATTTTTATTTTTATTTTTATTTTATAATTAAATCATTCAATGTAGACATAAAATTAATAAATTCATTAGTTGGGTTAAACCCAAGTCAATCTCTTATTTTGAAGCTAGTAATACTAATTAAAGTGATCATAAAAAAAATTTCACATAAATTAAATCGGAAATATCTTACACTTGATAATTATATAATAAAGATCACTTCACTTATAATCATCTAATTTTAGATTGATTAATGTTCATCCTAAAATTTAAAATGTCTAAATTTTATCAATAAAGTTATTATTTCGAATTTTGGATAATATTCTTACTTTATCTTATCTTATTATTTTTATAATTTAGGAAAGAAAACATGCTCTTAATTTTTATTTTTTTTTTACATTTAAGATTGTCAAAAATTAAATCATAATCACTAAAACTAATAATTTAAACACTCTACCAATATATCACCACATGACTGTTATTTACCCTATTAGTCATACCAAATAAGATCAAAACTCCTAACACCCTCTCTCACAACCAATAAAAGAATTTAACACTTTTATTTTTTTTCCCCAAAGATTAACTATTCAGTTCATCATGTGTTCTAAAAAAGACAGATGAATATGCTGCCACTATTCCAAATTCTTAATTTCCTCTGGTAAAAAAAAAAAAAATCTTCCCACTTAATGTTAAAAAATGACAAAATTAGGCAGGGCATTGCAACATTAATGCATACTCTCCGATCAATATCGCATACTGGCTTTACCTAACCAAATGTTGATTGATTAGAGAAACATTGGGAACTTAATTTGCTAACTATTGGAACAAAAATGAAGGAAACAGACTTTAAAAACTAAAAAAAAGTAACATTGGAGTTAATTCATTGGATTTTTACACATATTGTTACATTAATTCTGTATCATATAGACAAAAAGCACTTCGAAATAAATTTTTTTATTGAAAATTCATTACCTTAATCATAAAATAAATAATTTTATGTCAATTCATATCTTCTTTTTTTTTCTCTTGTTTTTGGGTCTTATATTTTTGCCAGTACTTATTACTCGAAATGGGCCCAAAGGCCCCAAACTAAAAAAAATTAAAGCTATTAAGCTTTGTGTTCCCAAATATCCTCATAAGAGGGCCATAGCTAGGGCCTCAGAGAGAACAGCAAATACAACGTTATAGAAAAAGCGAATAAATCTTCAGGAGATTGAAGTTGGGGGTAGGTGGAGCAGTTTAACTTTGGATCAATTAGCATATACTTGAAAGTTGTAGATTCCATAAAATTTTATATACGGAATATTTCTTTGACTAAGTATAAAAGTAACGAGTTTAAGAATAGATTAGTAATTTCCAGTAATTTCCAAAAAAAAAAAAAAAAAAGGTTAGGGTTGGTGAAAATACTAGCTTTTAAAGTTCTCTAAGAGTATATGTATATACATATGTACATATATATACATATATATACTGTGTACATATATATGTATATATATGTACATATGTATATATATATACGCACAAAATTTTATGATTTTGTGGTCTTTTCAGTTCTGGGTTTAATTAAAACTTTTGAAATTGTCATCAAATGTATTGCTATCAGATTGGATAGCTAAAGATTATTCTTCATCAGGAAAATTATAAAAAGAACTAAAGGGCTGCGCCCTTTTCTCTGTAACAAGAATTACATAGGTAGATAGAGCAAACTGTTTGTCTCACCATTTTCCCTGTAGAAAACCCAACAACAAAGAAAATATCTTGAAGCCTCATCAAAATGCACAAAAGTAATTAAGTTTTGTAAATTACATTAAAGCAAATGGAATGTTAGCATCAAATCAATGTGTTTCCACCTTAAAAAATGAGTCCAAAGAAAGAACCTTTGAACATTACCAATTTCAGACATATTAAGTCAGCAGGAACCTAAATTAATCAACTAATGTCATATAAATAAATATATATATATATATATATATATATACACACACACTCACACACGCACTCTTCAAAAAATGAACTAAAAAACTCACCATTGACGACTCTGATTAAATGTGAAAGAAAGGGTAATGCATTAATTAAAAGTAACATTACTTTGAACAACAGTTTTGAAGTGTAAAACTTCTTTGGTATTTTCATATACAAACATATATAAATGCCTTCGATGAATTTGAGTTCAGAAAAAGAAAGGGTCATGCAATGTTTTTGTGTTTCATGCGGCATGATATGTTGAAAATTTGTTACATGACAAAGAAATAAACAAGTATTTTTCCGTACAAGCTTGTCAGGCTTACGAGTAAGATCATATCACTCACGCTTTAGGTCAAGGTAGAGACAATTGTTGTTGGCATCGTATCAAAGCACTGAAGCAATGCCTTTTAACATCAGTTTAGGGGCCAAACAGTCTAAATTAGGTTTTAAAAAATAATAAAAAAAGAAAAGCTAAAGCTTAGTTGTTCTTTCCATTTTAAACCAATCACTTTTTTGAATAAAATAAAAGCTTCTATAATCAGTTTAGGGTTTGCCACAGCTTGATGGTAATAGGTTTTTTTTCTTGTATATAACACTAAACTACAGTGAGTTGTTAAGGTAGTTGGACAATCATTTCACAACTACCATTCTAGGGTTTATTATTAATAGTCGCCTAATTTATTGATAGATTATTAAACTCTTAATTTCAATTATGAGGGTTTAAATTTTAATAAGCTTGAATACCAAAAAAAAATAATATAATACAGTAAAGGAAGCAATAAACTAAGCTTAAATATAAAATATTAAGGCCAATAGAAAGGTTTTTCATGGTATAAATATAAACTCTAGGGTTAGGGCTTGGCCATGACCTCAAACTAAAAGCTCTGCATCTCTTTCTATATATCAGTACTCTTAATTTCTCTCAAACTTTTTTGTGCTTTTTTTTATGCCAGTTTTTGATTCTTGGTCATTAATCAAATTTGATAATTGTGTGTTCAGTTTTACAAGGGTTCAGTGGTGAAGGAAGTTAAGAATTTGGGGATCGGGAAATCATGAGGAAGCGACAAGTGGTTTTGAGAAGAGAGGAGCCCCGAAGAAGCACCACCAATTCATCTTCAACAATTAGAAGTGTGAGATATATGGAGTGCCAAAAGAACCATGCCGCGGGCGTCGGAGGTTATGCTGTTGATGGGTGCAGGGAATTCATGGCCACCGGAGAAGAAGGAACAAGTGCAGCCCTTACTTGTGCTGCCTGTGGCTGCCACAGGAATTTCCACAGAAGGGAAGTTGAAACTGAGGTAGTTTGCGAGTGCTCTTCACCTCCTTCCAATGGAGCATAAATATATAGTTTTATTAAATTAATTACTACTCATGTTTATATAAATGTATGGTTGTAATTATGTGTTGTATGTATCGCTGTGGTAACTGTTTTGAGCTTTTGTGGAGACATGATCATCAGTCATGACAAAACCTCTTCTCTACGAAGAATTTGTGTTATGTTAATTCCTTGATGAAGGAAAGGTTTTCCTTAGCTTATTTTTCTATGTATGGAAGGGTTCAAAAGAATTTATGTTGCCGACAGTTATGTGTTCTGTTGATAGAATACTCAATTCTAAGCTTTGGTAATTAAGGATTCATTTCCTAATAGGCTCAAATACCAAAAAAAAAATCGCTGTTATGTTCTTGATGAAGGAATTAATGGTTTTTTCTATTGATTACTTTACACTATATATAGTGGATTGATGGTCCATGGTTGACCTAGCTAGCCAATTTTAGGTTATGTTTCAATTATAGGGTTATTAAAGGGCATGAACTATATAGAAATTCATGATACTACTAAAGTTTCACTAGCTTAATTACTTGATAGGAAGTGAAATCTGCTAAAAGGTGGGGAAAAGATGATGATTTTGGCTACGTTTAGCAATTATTTTTACTGCTGTATTTGTAGTTCCATGATCTGCTTATGAAATTTGCTCTTTTAGCTTAAAATAGTTGTAGTTGTATATGTTGTGTTATGTGATTTGGTGTGCATTTTGCTTGGTGAAATATTTTATTCTTTTCCGAATTAGTATACGGAAATTAGAAAGCAATTAAGGAAAACATTCTTCTTTCAGTTAAGCATGAATTATGAGCTTCACCATTAACTGAACGATTTGTCTGATTGCAATTATATCTTGAATTCTTTGTTTGAGCTGTTAATTTTGCTTCAACACTTTTTGGAACTTATGCAAAGTGATTAAATTCCAAATTTCATAGTACTTTCACTTGTTTGAATTGCTTATTATCATTATTGAAACCTGCATATAGGGGCAACATCTCCTGGAAGATATTTATTGATGCCAGTTTAAGTTTTTTCACCAAACAATTAGCAAAATGATCTTGTGATTCTCAGGGCAAAAATCCATGGAATATTTCCTACATGTGGAAGCCTAATCTAATCTATATGGTAAGATCACTTTGTATTTAAGTTCACAGGCCCACATATCTAATCACTAATGGAATATTTCGTATTGTGGTCTAATCTGCTGGTTGTTGTGATGGGAAATTTTCTTAGTGATGTACTTAAAAGGCAATTAAAAAGCTTAAACTAACCACTTTGGTTTGAATCAAAGGTTGGGGTTTGAGTAAATATCCTAAGTTCGAACTAATATTCCTGTTTTCTTGTACATGGTACAAGAAAACAGGAAAAAAAAGTGTAACTAAAATGACCTATTCGTTACTGTTCTTCAAAAGTATTCATTGATTCAACACCAAAAGAAAAGATTGTCAAATAAAGATGATAGAATATTAAACAACTTTTATCTTTGTAGGCTTTACATAGCTTCTTTTGGCCGGTGGTGAACCCAAAGCTTAACTTAGTTCATGCATGTAATTGCTTTTAAGAAATTGTATCTCTCAAGTCTAGCATTCAAATATCAATACTGCAACCCTTTACCCTATCTTCAAACTACAACTTCTTTTGTTAAAAAAAACCTTTTTTGGTCTGTATTATTATTTTACTGTACTTCACTTTAAACATACCTTTTATGTTGAACATGCATATACGTAGAGATCATAATAAAAACATCAAACAACTTTAATTTTCCACATTTATCTTCAAAATATCCTAGTAGATTTATACTATTATACTAAGAAGAAAGCAATTCAATAAATGCTTAAATACTTCAAAACTCTTTCTCTTCATAAAAGGAAATGTAGCTAGACTCCTCATATTATCAAATGGTTTGATATTTGCCATGTGAGGTGAGTAAGCATTTTTTTTTCCCTCAAGTTAGTTATTGAGTATGGAGAGATCAATCCTTCAAGTATACGTAAAATTGAATCGGGTAGATGTCAATCGAGAATAATATCCCGAGTGCTGCGTAATTTGAGCTTGTGATTACTTGAGGAATGCAAAGAAAGAGTTTGTCAGGCTTGTAACTAGATGAGGAGTAGACATAAGGTTATCTAGGCATGGAAAGCTTTTCCATTAACCATGGAAAGCTTGTATTTTTGTTCATTTTTTGTGAGTGATTCCCATATATTTCCTCAATTATTTGATTTCAACAAGATCTGTTATGTTTTCATAATTGAGAAAAAGATCTTCTTATGTTTGCTTTGATCGAATTCTAAATGGAATTTCACAGCAAAAAAGAATCAAAACTTTTTGTCCCCATAAAATTTCGGCTGAGCACTAATGAAATTTACCTACGTGATGTGCATGTTATATAAAATCTTTTAGTTTCATTAATTGAATTGTAACTCTAATTGATGGCTTTTCATCACCAACTATGTGGGTAAATCAAGTAAAAGGCAGAAGAGAGCTCTTGTCTTCCTGATGATTGGCCTATTTGCATATATAAAGGAATGGAGAAAGAAATTAGGACTTGCAAATCTTCCTTCATAACGGAAAAAAGAGAGGAAAGAAAAAAAAATTTTAAAAGTTAATTAGAGTTTTAATTAGATCTTGATAAGAACTGTCTTACTAAGAATAGTTTCCCTCAAGAGGTGAGAACGAAATGTGAGATTATAATTTGATCAATTCTTTTGATTAGTTGTATGTTAGGTTTAAAATGTTTTTAAGAAGGGAATGATTACAATGCATTATAATGCATATGTTTTTAAGAAATGTGAGAATTCAAACCTTTGATCTTTGTAAGACACTAAGACTACACATTACAATGCATATGTTTTTTTTAAGAAGTGAATGATTCTTTTAGTTCATAACATGAAAAATGCAAACGAAATGAATTCAAGCTTCACCTTAAGAAGTAATATTTAGTATTCTAAGATTCAAATTTTAATACCTACAATTTCTATTATTCTAGAGTTATAATATTTTTTATTAAAAAAAATTTACAAACAGAATAAAAATTATAGTAAAATTATTAAATATGCCAACAATAAAATTTTTAATTTTACAAATGAGATTAAAAAAGTGATATATACCCTAAGGTATATTTTTAAAAATAAAAAATTAATTAAAAATAAATATATATATATATATTAATCTTTTAACACTAATGAAATTAAAAATTTATGCTAATATCGTATCAAATACTAACTCAAAACTATAAGGAAAACTATCAAAAAAATTTGAATACTTGGGTTTTAAAAGGTCAGATGGATATTTAGTTTGGAGATTATGAAAGTGGCCCAACACTGATTTTGGCCCTTAAAACCAAATGGGTAATGATCACCCATGGGCTACTTTATTATTGGGCAAGACATCCTAGGAAATACCCAATGAAATTAAATTTGATTATCTACTTTGTTTAAACTCTAGACCAACTGTCAATCAAAATTATCCCAAGGTCTGATGAGCATGATAATCAGTTTGTTTGTAATTAACAAATAATTAATTAATTTCCTCACTAATTATTTTGTGCCTTTGCTTAGGTGGATGAAAGATGAAAATTTAGAATAACATTTTAGATTCAAAACCATTGTTTTTAATTTCAATTACATACCGATCATATCAACTAATATGTTCTAGTAATGTTAAAATACGATACACTCAAGGATAGTTTTTTATATCAAATTTGGTATTGGATTATATCAATTATTTTCATTTGTTTTGATTAATTTTGATGAATTTTAGTGGAATAACTTGTTTCAATCGATACAAGAATGTAAAATATGTTTTATAATTTTTAATTTATCTTTTAGTATTAAACTATTTTTAACCTAATAAAAATCAAACTAATGAATAAAATAACTCTTGAAAGTTAGATTTTTTATTTTTTACCATAACTTATTCTCTTTTATACTTTATTTTTTCAAGTCAAAATTTATAAGTATTTCAATAACTTTTAAAAAAGCAATTGTACTCCCTCTTTAAAGTTTAAGAATTTTAAAATTAAAATTAATTTTTTTTCATCTATTTATTATTATCTTAATATAATTTTACATGAAAAAGAAAAGAATCCTAAAATTAAAATTAACTTTTTTTCATCTATTTGTTCTTATCATAATATATTTTTACATAAAAAATATTTATTTAAATATTATATTATCAAATTAAGTGTTTAAAAATATATGATAAATTAATGATACTATTTATTATACTTTTAAACTTATTTATTTAATTTTTTTAGATATTATATATTTATTTTACATATTATTAATAGTAGTATTATGTACAAACCTATATATTTATAAATATATTTATATTAAATCAAAAAATTTTAAATAATATGTCAAAATAATTGGTACATACTGATATATACCTTTAAAAAAAATAAAAATATTATATGATATGATATTAATAATCTTGTTGGAAACACAATTCTAATTCACTCATGAACCATTAAAAGAATTCGCTAAACCTTGACGATGCAATATTTCTTTTTATCTTCTTTGAAAAAAAGAACAAGTTTTGAGTGCAATTTTATTGTTGGTTTTCAAGCAAAGAATTCATTAATTAAACATTTATTATAAGGAAAATTATGTCATCTTGTCAACTATTTAGGTTTGAGTTTGAATGGGTCGAAGACTGAGTCAAGTTTGTTAACTATCAGACTCAAAATTGTCAACCAAATCAATATCAATGGGAAATGAAAAAGGGCCCTATATTGGGTCAGAAAATTTGGGCTCTTTCCACTTTGATTTGACATGGTTTGGAACTCCAAAACTTAATGGGCAATGAGCTAAAGAATATTCCAAGTTGATTTCAAGGCTTTGATCTTTCAAAGTTCTGAGATGTTATTCCTTCAGATTTTGTGTGCCATCAAGAAAATGAGCCTTGGATTGAGACGCCCACTTGGCTAAACCTTAGATTAAGTTTGAACCTCAATTAACGAAAATTCAATTCAATTCATTTGAAAATGAATTTGATTAATATTTGAAGTTGCCTATAGCT